AGGAATACAGAAATGCTCTCACAGTATCACCATAACCAATAAACTAAAGATCGATGCTGAATCATATCCAAAATATCATCCTTGGTGTTTCCTTCCCATGTTTACTTGCAGTAGCCTGATTTCTATCTAGGTAAGAGGAAAGTCTGACATTTCTTGGATTGAAATCAGTTACAAAGTAAGAGGCCTATGAAAGTGTCTTCTTGATTAACCCGTCATGCTGTGACCGTTAATTACTGTGTGGCCTGGGAACTTCAGTCTTGGAAGGACATCATGGCAGGTGAAACACTAGGCATGTAACTTGTTAACCTAATGGTAGATTGGACCCCAAATAAACTGTAGCTCTCCTACTGGCAGAAATATTCAAGTTTGTTCTGCTGAGCTTAACAATACCTATAGGCACCTAGCCACCTAGAGAGTCTGTTTCTTAGGGGTAAACGCCAAGGGTATCTTTACATGTGCTCCAGAAGTGCGGGGGTGAGGGGTGCTTTAATTAGAGCAGCTCCGAGAGCCACTCTAAAGCTCCCACAGCATCTTATGTATCAGCGATCCTATGCTTCAAAATGGTGGTGGGGGCACTTCAACTAAAGCTTGTTCGACAGGCTTTATTTAAAGCACCCCTGCCGCCATTTTGAAGTGTGGGGATGCTGATATACAAGACATGGAGGCTGCTGGAGTGCACTAATTAGCATGCTTCAGTAGACTCAGTTGAGTCTGCTCCAACGCACTCTAATTACAGTGCATTGGAGCAGCATCCTTGCGTGTCTACAGGCACCCCTCATTCAAGGCTGTGAGCCAGATTCTTTGCTGCTGTAAATCACATAGCACCTTGACTTCACTGGAGCTTTCTCAATTTATATCAGTCAAGGATCTGGCCAAATGCATTTAGAAAAAATACTGGATTGCACATTTAGTGACAAACCTTATCCAGCTCCCAGTGAAGTAAGGAGAAAGGTCCCAATGACAGCAGTTGAAGTTGGACAGGGACCAAATGTGACCACTTGATTTTAAGTACTTCTGAATAGGTGCTGCTGCTGACATCTTTCCAATATATTCTGCTCTTTTTACTTGTATACACAATGTCCAAAATTCCTACAGATTTCCTGTCATATTAGTCAACCACAGTGACAGGATGTAAAAAGGGACCAGATATTCTCAAGATCAGTGCCAGTAGGGGTAGTTATACAAGCTAAAACAATACCATGACATCAGTTTTTCATTACATAGTTAAGGGAAAAAAATTCTCCCTACCCCTCCCTTCCTG